TAGACCCTGCACTAAATACAAAAACAAAACAAAACAACAAACAAAAAGCATCTATATTGGACAGTAGAATGGATGCTAAACCTGAAGAAAGACAGAGGTTAATTCTGGCTTATGATACTGAAGGTATAAATTCTTTTTGCTATGAATGCATTTTAGAAAAGATAAATAATAAACATTGGCTCAACTTCCTAAAAATAAAAAATGGTAAGAATTTCTTTTGAACTTGTAAACTTGTTGCATTGGTTTCTATATGTCAGGAGGGCAAATGATTGAATAATCAAAGGCTTCATAGGCCAGCATTGCCTACTTAGAGAGGAATTAAATGTGGAGCCTAAACCCTGAATAGTCATTGAAAAAACTTGCTCTTTAGATACTTGATTTTGACCAGGTCAAGATGAAAGAGCTGACTGAGCAGGTCACTCTAAGATCATGTGAGTTCATGAATTGAGTCAGGATTTCCTAGAACAGTGTTGAGCATGTACAACCTGGACAGCTCACTGCTGCAGTGTGTCTGGGTAGCTGTGTGCTCACAGCTCACAAATTCTAGGTATATAGGAGGTTTTGCAGTGTAAGTCTTATTCAAACAACATCCAAAGTAAAAACAAACAAAACTGAGGTAGTACTGCTTAAAACTCATTGGCCCAGAGTTACACTCAGGACATCCCACTGACTCCAAATGTACCTACATGTGTGAGTTTCAAAACTTGCCGCAACATTGCATCAACTCACTGCAGCATTACAGGCACAATTGTAGTTGGTATTTTTGGCTCAGACTGGAAAATAGGGCCACAAGGTTGACCAGCACCCAAACCATTATCCACTGCACATGAATAATGTTATGCAGATAAGCCCTGAACTATAAGTGTGCTCCTAAGAACTGACTGGGCAGCATGCCTGCATCATGATAGAGAATCTCATCCTCCAGGTAGGAAAAACTCTGCTTGAAATTCAGAGAAAGTGTTTTTCTGTTGGTGCAGATATGAGAGAGACAGACAGAGGCTAGAGAGGTAGTGTAGTTCAAATGCCCTTGGTTTAATCCCTAGTGTTGTGCAGAAGAAATGTATAAATCTCAAGACATGATACCTGAGATTTTGCATCAAAATTTATGTCCCAGATGGAAAGGCCATTCACAAAAATTGAAGCTATCTGGCATCAAATTTGAAATCACTGAAACAACAGAGGCATGATTTCTAGTTTAGAGCAAAAGTAATTCTTTAGACAATTATTAGAGGTTGAGCTGTAGCTCAATCGTAAGAGACTTGCCTAGCACTACAAAAATAATTGAGTGCTTTCCATAACAACTTGAACTACTTAAGGCATGGTGAAATTTCATTGGTCATGCTTACAAATTACTATAAAGTTAACCACTAACTATTCAAACCTATTTCTTGTCCGTTGTAGTTCCTAGTTGGGAAATAACTGTGGGTTATCATTTAGGGTGAGAGAAACTCAGCTTGAGGAGAGAGAACAGTTACTATAAGCACATATGGGTAGGATGGGGGGACCGGGACCGGAGAATGTTTACTTTCAGCAGAAAATCACCTCAGGCATAACATTCTCAGGGCTTTTCCTTGTCTTTTCTGTCTCCTTCCATTTACCTGTGTTCACCCCTCCGGTGAATATCCATGCTCCAGTTGTCATTGCCGCTTTGATGAGCCCCTTCCCAAAGACTTGCTTGAGTTTGGGCTGGAGTTCAAAGTTCTGCAGGCCGCCGTGGACTGAGATGAGAAGCTTGGGAAGCTCCAACTGCCATTCCTTGGTCATCAGGTGTAACAGGAGATCAGGTTTCGTATCAAAAGATACTCGCACATACTGCAAGCAGCAAGGGTGTGAGTTAGAGGCTGCCTGTCTTTACTGCCCATACTCTCATGTGTCACTACTTGAAGGAAATGCCTCACGTGAAGCCAGATTTGGCAAGAGGGTCCATCATTTCCTTTACCAAAGAAACATGAGAAAAGGAATTTAGCATTTTTAAGGGCTTCTGGAAATGGAGAGTTATTGCAAGAGTGAAAATGTTTTGATTTTTAAATAATACTTTAAATACAATTTTCCTGTAAGGTGTTCTTTGTTTAAAAGGAAATATGTTTACATTTAACCATTCTACATGTGTGCAATAATTCAATTTTTTCTAGTATTTTCATTATATGTAATCCCTTTAAATAAACTAGACGCATTTATAACAGAGTGTTTGTGTTCTGTGATTCTGTTATTCTGAAAGGTTTTGAAAAATTCCACAATTTTACATAATGCAATGGAACATTTAAAATAAGGTAACTGCAGATTATATTAATATCTGTAATAAAGGCAGACTAATAGTTTATTTTTCTTTTTAATTTCAAAAGGTAAGTGACAAATAGTATGCAATTTGCTGATTTTTTTGCAAGTTAATTTTAACTTCTATCATTAGTAAGTGAAGAAAAGTATTGTACCTTTTGTACCTTTTGAAATACACCAAATGGATTGAGTTTGTAATAAAAAAAAGAATCACCCCCCCCCCCCGGTCAGGCACTGTGTTATATGCTTAGCATAGATTGGCAATTCAGTAGTGTTTGGTGTTCTTGGATTCTAGCAGAGGGCCTGCCATACATAGAGGAGATATAAGGGGTGATGGTACAAGACAGATCCTTACGGGACAATTGACATCCTCTTTTAGGTTGGGAGGATGGAGGCCTGCTTCATTAAGCAGCTCTGGGGGGGTCAGGTGTGGGGAGAACACATAGCAACATGGGGGCCAGCTAGGGGGATCCCCTTATTTCTGTTTTCCGTACAAGGAACCTTATGACAACTGGTTGAGGCTCTCTAGTTTAATAAAAATCATGTAAGGAGGCTTCTGAAGACTCTCATAAGTGTTAATTGGGACTTCATCAGCTTATTTTTGTTGCAATTTCCAATTTTTAAAACTGTTTAAGTAATTTTTTCACCTTCCCCCAGTGCTAATTCTTGTAGATTTTATGAGTGTTGAACCAATGCTTTCTCTGTCTCAGTCTTTGTACCTCTATTCTTTTCAGATGTATTAAACACACAAAAACTCTTTACAGGTAAAGAATAGTTGAAAAATTAAAATATATAGCAGATATCAAGCTTTTACCAAATACAACTAGAAACAATGTTATGGTAAGTGTATATAGCTGAAATCTATAAATACAATCCCAAACATCTATATAAGCACATGCATAGATGCTCAGTTAAGTTTTAGTATAATTATATAAAGACTTCCACCTTTAGCTGAAATAACTAAAATATTTAAAGTATAGCAAGTGCTTTGAAATGTTCTGTTGAGTTGTCATGACGGAACAGAACATTTTGTTTATCTCCCAAAGCAGACTATGGAGGAGCTGGAGCACTGGAAAACCAAAGGAAGATGACCCCAAGTGTTGGACAGGTTGAATGTCCGATTTAATGACTTTATCCAGGATGGCAAGTGATGGAGCTGAAATATTTCGCAGGACTCTGCCTTCAAGCCTAAGGAGCTAAGAACGAGTCTGATATGCCGAGCAAGACAATGAGAACACTTGCCCACCTCAGCATTGGGTCTGGTGGGAGAGAAAAGATGTCCCTCTGATGATTCTTTTAAACGGAAGCGGGATCTTATAGAGACTGCAGTCTGCCCTGATGTAATCAATGTGGCTCCATGCCAAGTGGAGTAGTCAATGTAAGCTGCTCTAGGCAAGGGCTTCAGAGAACTGGCAGAAGCACTGAGCTCCTGGGTGGGAATGTCATCAACTCAGGTCTGAAATTGTTCCCATGGGAAGAAGAAGCATTCCATGGAAATAAAGTAAACATAACATCACAAATCACACAAGGAAACAAAGCAGCATGAATGAGAACCCACAGAAAAATCAGGCAGCAGAGTAGCATTCTCAAAAATGGAAATGATCGCAGAATACAAAATTACTCTGTCTAATATGCTATAAACCAAAGGCATTAACTGGACATAGAAGGAATAAGAAACTATGAGGAGTTGTGGATTAATCTCTGGACAGAAGCTCTGTAAATTAAATATAAATACTTAAATGCAAATGACAGTGGCTAAAGATAAACTGACAATAGGTCCAAAAAATAAACCAGATGCAGCCTAAGAGACACAGGGATTAAAAACATAAAAGGAAAACTAAAGACCCTTGGAGGACATAATTAGAATTCTAGATAGAAATAAAAGAAATAATGAGGAAAAGATGCTGCCTGGGCATTTCTTAGAATTATTGGAAGATACCAGATCTCAGGCTAGGAAGTTCAATGAATCCTGAGCAGGGTAAACGAAGAGAAAGCTCGTTCAAACACACAGCACAGACGATGCCAGAGGAGGGAGGGGAGCCCCCTGTAGAAGTACAGATCACCTGCAGTGGGGCAGTTACTGGACTGAAAGCCAGTTTCTCAGTCACGTACCCAACACCAGCAGGCTCAGTGTGTCAGGACAAACAACGTTAGCCGACAGTTCCATGTTCAGAAAAAAAAAATCTTCCAAAATGAGATCAAATGATATTTTCTGATTTCCAAAGGTGAGAGTGTTGATATCTAGTCAACTTCACTGATGCAAATTTTAAAGTATATACATTAGCACAACCCTTACGATCTAATAGGGACGATCAGGGACGTAAGGATAGCAGTCACTATGTGTTAAATCTTTTTTTTTTTTTTTTTTGTATTTTAGGGAAGGGTCTACAGGGTGTTTAGGGTCTTACTACTAGATCAAAGTCATAGTGATCTGCCTGTTTACAGCCTCCCAAGAGCTGGGATTACAGGTGTATGTTCCACCACACCCAGTCTCAATTGCCATCTTAGCGTGCCCCGGGGGTGGAGCCGGCATGACAGGCCGGGGGATCAAACCCCCAGCCTCAGCACCTGCTTGCCGGTGCTTTAGTCCACTGAGCTATTTGGCCGGCCAACTATGTGTTAAATATGTAATGGTATTGGTTCAAAAATGTAAGATGATAATAGCCTATGTATTTCATGGTAGAATGGGTTAGAACTATAGCACTAGCAATCTAGTATCTAAGTCGGAAGTGATTGAAGTTATGGGGTTCTGCAGTCTAAATCCTACATGGGTGAGAAGGAAGTAGTATTAACATTTCAAAGTTAGTACCAAGGACTGGATGTATATACATTAACTTACCGGCCTCCAGTAAATCTTTTTTTAAAAAGTGCATTATAATTATAAGAGTAGAGTAGATACATATACCAGAAACACAGTTGCTTGTTATCAAGTGTTATGTGCTATATGTAACTGTGTGTGCCATGCTTTTGTAAGATTAGCAGCGAAGTTTTGTTTACACCAAAATCAAAATATATGAATGGTATTTTGTGCTGCGACATGAAGACTTCTACATCATCAGGTGATAGGAATTTTTCAGCTCCATCTTACAGGACAAGCACCATGTGGTCATTATAGACCGAAATATTATGTCACACGTGACCGCTTGCTATGCTTCAGGCCTACGCAAGCTCTGTGCTTTACAAGTGCCATTGTACTTACTCCTCCCAAGAATAAAGACATCGGCATCACCCCCATTTTGCTGGTGGGTGCAGTGGGAGTCCTATTATTCCCATGTTAACGTTGCTAGGAAGGGGCTGATGACAGGACTCATACCCCAAGGCTAACTCCAGAGCCCTTTCTCGTGGCCTCAGAAGGAGTCGTGGCTCTTGCTCCACATTTTCCTCTTCCCTTTACCTATAACCATGCAGTCTGTGGGTCCTAATGATCCATTTTTTAAAATGCTGTTCTCATGCAGGCACTTTCTTTCTTTTCCTTTAGCTGCCAGTTTAAAAACACTTGCTGCTCAAGGGATGTCAGTTTGGATTATGGCACAGCCGCCTCCTGGCTTCGCGGGCCCTGAGCCCTCTAATGAACATGAGCAGGCTGACTTCTTTCTCCAGTCTCCCTTTGATCATATTATTTCTTAATTAAAATCATTACATCATATGTGAACTTAGGCTGGCAACCATGATCCCCCATAATTTGGCTTTATCCTTCCTATTGAGAAATTTCCCCCACTTTCTGTGTATTTGGCTAACGCAGTCCCCCAAGTTCTAGCTAATGCAGTCTCTTATCTTTCCTGGACAGATATCACCCTAATTTTTCAAAGGCTCTGTTTCATTCCAAGTGACCTTTGCCAAGAATGTAAGCTCCTACTGAACATAAGCCACGTTACTATCAGTAAAGTTCAGTGTGATATTGCTTT